CCGTGCACTTCAGTTACGTGTGTGTGTGTATATATATATATATATATACAGTTTTTCTCCCGATATGTGGCATTTTGTAGGTTTTAATGGCGCGGTTAAGACGTCACCCTTTAGGAGGAATGACGCCCTCGCGCCACGGGGCGTTAGCGTCGACCGTAGGCCGAACCTAGGCGGGGGGTGAAAACCTGGCAGGCTTGGCGGAGGCGTCCCGCCGCGCAGCCCGCTGGAGCCGTGTCCGAGAAGAGGCAGAACCGGGGGCCGCGGCTTTCAGCGCTGCTCGTGCCCCCTCGGGCAGAGCCCGGTTTCTGCCGCCTCCTGTATTGCCTGCGGTAGGTTCCAAGCGCGTTCCCTGGAGGTGCACCTTGTTGCCGAGGAGTTTGCTTCGGTGCTATCGGGGAGTCTCCAGAAAACAGAAAGAAGCAGCTTCTGGTGAGCCTGGGGAAAGAAAGACAGACATAATCCAGACAGGCCCTAATCTTCCTAAATTGCACGGTGTGCTGGTATGTTACAGAAATAGGAACGCTTGTACACAGGGAATGGGAGAAGATGGGAACTGATAAGGGACGATTAAACTTGGTTTTGAGTAAAGCCAAACGACTGAGAAAGCTGATGCTTATGAAAAAAGAAACTTCTGAATGAACTGGCATGTCTCCCAACACCCAGAAGCTGCCAGACTTAAGCTACTGTAGTATTTAATAATAGCACGTACTCCGGGTTTCTAAATAAAGCTTTGCAAGCTGAATGCTGAGAAGAAAGTAAAAATATACATGTAGCTGTCTTTATGTTTTGATTTTCAAATCCAGCAAAGTTTTTATGGGCTTTTACTTTTCAACAGTTCACAGTGCTATAATCGTTCACCTGCTGGGGGCATGAGCGTAATTTTGAGAACCCGATTTTCAGCTTGGGTTGTTTGAACAGACCCACATCTGTTCCCGTGGACAGAATTTAGGGTGAAGCAAATAATGTTTTACCCTGACGACAGAGGAGTTAGCTCAGCTTTTTTTCTAAAGATGTAGAGGTGTGCTAGTGCAACACCGTCATCGCTTTGTAACAGAGTTAGAAGGAGCAGGTTTGAATACAACATTTTGAAGAGATAAATTGAAAGTATCTTCTTTTTTAACAAAGACGGGCATTTGAAATTCTGTAACTTAAAGTAGCTATCAACTAACCTTATAAGTAGCTTATTGAGTATTTTGAAGGGGGAAAAATTAATAATACTTTGTTATTTCTATAAATAAAAATCTTCGCTAGTAAACTAGATCAAATTAGCTGACATGTTTTTCCTGCTAAGAATTGTTTTTTCTGGCTCGTACGCTATTTTGAGAAACTCAGCCGCTAACAGACTATTGATTCTTTTTCAGTCTATATGGATTTGCATTCTTTAAAATGTCTTGGAAAAGTTGAACTTGTAGTTAGAAGAAGTTTACAGGAAAAAGAGGTATTAATGATTTCAGTTCCCCACATTCAGAGATCAGTCATTGCCAGACACAGACTTCTTAAAAATTCGATAGCCTCTGTGGAAAGAAGCGTTGAACGTGACAAGGATTTATTTGACTGTTGTTCTCTTCGCAGTATAGCCCAGACAACGTGGCTGGAGCAGACGGAGACCATGACCCCACTGAAATCACCTTTCCAGGATGTTCTTGCCTTACCAGCTCCTGTGTGGTTCACGCGTGCTCGTGTCTTTGCCACGGTGAAAATTACAACAGTTTGTGCCTCTGGCCTACAGACAAAGAGGAGGAGTACGCCAGGCCTGTTTTTGAATGCAATGCCATGTGCCAGTGTGGTGAATCCTGTCAAAACAGGGTTGTTCAGAGGGGTTTGCAATTCAGACTTGAGGTGTTCAAGACTGAGAAGAAAGGGTGGGGTCTTCGCACTCTGGAATTCATAGCTAAAGGAAGATTTGTTTGTGAATACGCTGGTGAAGTTTTAGGCTTTACTGAGGCACGTAGAAGAATGCAGGCCCAGACATCAAAGGATTCGAACTATATTATAGCGGTGAGGGAGCACCTCCATAGTGGTCAGGTAATGGAGACATTTGTTGACCCTACGTACATCGGTAACGTAGGCAGATTCCTGAATCATTCTTGTGAACCAAATTTATTTATGGTGCCAGTTCGAGTTGACTCAATGGTGCCTAAACTGGCACTTTTTGCAGCTGCTGATATTTCGGCCGGAGAGGAACTTTCATATGATTATTCTGGAAGATTCCATAATTTATCAATAACTAATAGAGAACAAAAATCTTTAGAGGACGATAACAGCTTGAGGAAGCCTTGCTACTGTGGTTCCCGCACCTGCGCTTCCTTCTTACCTTGGGACAGCTCTCTCTTTTCCACACCCGACACTTGTTCAGGGAGCTCTCCGTAGCTTTTCAGTCCCTAAGCAGACCTAACAAATAGCATTTTCTTGAGTAGTTAAATTGTAGTTAAATAAAACTCAGATTGTGTATTCCACCAAGGAAGCACACGTGGTTTTGACTAACAGCTAGAAGACGAGATTTTGAGAATAACTTCATGCAACATCCTAGAGACTGTGTTCAAGGTGGATGGCATGATATGAGGGAGCAGCGGAGCTTCAAGACGTTCCAAAATCAGTTACTAAGCCAGGCCTGGTGGTTTTTTTCTTCATTTCTTCTGACAGCTTGATGTATGATAAAGCACCTCTCTCAGTCTGTACCTTTTAGAAAGAAGGAACTTGAACATTGGTACACAGAAAGGACATGTGATAACGACGAGAAATGTCACTGAAAATTACACAAGAGAGTGAGACCAAGGAATGCTGACATTTGCAAGAAGGGCATTAGGTTTCTTAAATCCTGTTAAAATAATTTACTTTTTTTAAATTACTTGCTGTAATTTTTTTTGTTCCACAAAACATAAACAACTGGTTATTATTGATGTAAAATCTTGCCCAGAAAGGTTAGCCTGAATGCTTTGTCCCCTCCTGTTTTCCATCTCCGGTCACATCTAGCTGCATGCCAAAATCTGGTTTTAAGTTACTAGTTCATTGCATTACCATTTAGCTTCTGTGTAAACGGCACAGTACTGCAGGCTCTGAGAAGTACAATCATCCCATCTTTTTAAATCGCATCTATCTCACGGCTCGTCCAATAAGACTTCCGCAATAATAGCAAGCAGCACGCCCATGTTACTTTCCAGCACTATTATTATGCGCTCAGGAAGCAAATTGAGACTCTGCAGTCTAAAGCAGTGTGATGCTGCTACTCGGACTTCTGAAATGGGTTAAAGTAGGAAATAGAAAAGTACATCCCAAGTAACTGGCGAAAGGACAAGAGGAAATGGCCTCAAGTTGCGCCAGGGGAGGTTTAGATTGGATGTAAGGAAAAATTTCTTTACTGAA